TCCTCCGCTCAGCACACATCATCTTTCCCATGACACATCAGACGGAGGGTTGTCAACACCGTCGGCGCGCACCAACCGTGTGGCGGAAGCTGTGATACATTCGTGTTTGGAGCGAATGGCCCGGGACCGCGAAACGAGGTGTGCCTAGTGACCGTAATTTCTCTCTACAATTACGACGGAACATAAAGACGTCGTCGCAATACGTGTAGTCGAAAAACTTACTCCTCGCAATCTTGCCGAAGTCGTATGCTACGTCTGTGATGAGCTGGTTCCACATAACGAAGCGGCCATTCATTACTCTTCCGAATCGGATATCATTAACCGAATGCAAACCTCTTTGTTCAATCCAGACCCTTAGTTACATCCAGATCTTGTACAGTGCTAGAATTGAGCCGACTTGTCTTCCATTTTCGCAGGCATCATGTTATCAAGAAATGGTATGACAAAACTCGATGATGGCAGTGTCCGCTTTGCTATCTGCCTGGAATGTGAAAAAGCGCTTTTCCACCCACGCCGACAAACACACCTTCTAAAATTTGCAGTTGCCAACCATTTTTTTATCGGTGCGCTGCCTAGACAAGGATAATGCGTGGAGGCTGACACCGTTCGATATGCTCCCATTTGCTTGTCTTTGACGCTATACCAGGACCGACAGGGACTCTGCTGCCCAGATCATTAACAAAGGACATGTTCTACCGCATCATCTTAGCAGGTGCATTTACTGGTGATCAGATTGCGCACATAAAAAAGTTGCATCACGTCCGGCATTCGATGGTGGAAAATCTCCTTGACTTTTATACGTCACTTAATTTTCTATATTCTGAAGTGAAACGCGACGACGTGGTTCTTGATAGCATTCCGCATGATGACCCTGTGTACGTGCGGGAGTCTATCATCCATGATATGTCAAATGACCACGCCTACACAAAGCTCCTGGACAATGAACAGGATGGTCTCAACGCTGCCTCCGACACAACGAACGAAACCATATACGTTGAAAAGTCCGAGTTTTTTTCACATGCGACCGCTCCGTTGGATCCGGCTGTCGAACAGCGTGTGCTTCAAGTTGAGTTGTCGAAAGCCACGCAGTTAAACGATCCAATTTCATGCTTCACACGTCATCGAACTTTGCAAACCTCTTCGACCCGGTGCTGGAAGGCATGACGTTTCCGCACTTGTTTCCCTGTCCGTGCGAGCACTCGGGAGAAGAAAAACGGAGAATCATTGTGTCGCGCCAGCTCTGTGCAAAGCATTACTATCTATTGAGCTCTAGACGCTTTGCGCAGGACCCGTACTATTGAATGGCCACCTTTGACCATCTTTCCTTAAATCGCGGATACATGTTTTCCCACATCACATGTAAAATGCGGCCGCATTTGCACCAGCCGATCGCCAATATCACGACGGAGATGCTCAGCGCTGGATTGGAAAACAACCGTCGTCGAAGGGCTGGCCTCCGAGCTCCCGATACAGACCCTGCAGTGACGGATCTGCTTCGGCATGTTGAATGTGCTTCTGCGTATGTTTGGGGTAGCAATGCAGAACGACGTGCACGTCGACAAGAAGCTTTTGCGCTTTATGCTCGCTTTGGACAGCCAACGCTCTTTATTACGCTCACCCCAAACACCGACACTGCGTTCCCACTCGCAGCGTACGTTGGCCTTCTTACCGTCGATGAGTTTTGTGACGTGTTTATCAACAATCTGGATGTTCAGACTGAGGATCTCAACAGACAATGTCGCTTCCGCACGGCTCTTTGATCGAATCATGCACGTTTTTTTTGACGATGTGCTTGGTTTCGACAGAGCTATACAAAAAAGTACCCCCGAAGGCGGCCTGTTTGGCCCCGTCCAGGCGTATTTCGGAATGGTAAAACACAAGGCCGTGACACACTGCATTTGCATTGTCTTATCTGGCTTGAAAATACGCCCCCTACAACTCGTGATTTTGACGATTCAATGAATTCTGATGCTCTCTTCAACGATCAAGTTGCGTAGTATGTGGACAACATAGTTTCGGCATCCGCGCCGCGAGATGCTTATCATCTTCCTTGTTCGCAGTGTCATGCACCGCCACCGGCCTACCGTTGGTCCATGTCCGCAAGCGTGATGTCTAGCACATATGTGTCGCTTGCCCACCTCTAGAGATGGTGCACAAAATATCCTTTTTCGACGACTTCGGCTGGCGCTTTAGGTTTGCCAGCTCTTGCGAGCTCCAGAACCTCCCTTATGTATTCCTCCATCTGCAGGGTATTCGTATGAACAATCTCATTGTGTTTCACTCGCTTCTTCTCCCTGGCTTCGTTCGATATACGTAATTAATCACGCAGACACGGACGATTGCGTTTAAGCGGAGGAAGCGTCATGGGTATGTTATCAGCGGCGTTTCAGGAAGCAGCCATAATCTGGACACAAAATGACATACGCTGTATAAGCAGCAGAAAACATAGTGTGAATAGATGGAACGACAAATATTACGTGGAGTGGTTCAAGCATCGGAACAGGAAATTGATAATAAGGATGAGGAATTATAGCTTTGAGGACTTTGATCACCAGTTCATCATGGATAAACGACCGGTAGAACTGCATATCCTGTTGGCTGAAATCACTTATGTGTAAATAAGGAGGTCTGAACAGCAAATGCTGTATCATAACAAGCATGAAAACTCCACAGTCATGCGAATTTGTTTGGACAGGGCCCCGAATGTTCAAGCACTGTGTGTCGGCAAAGTCATGAAAGCAATCAGAACCTTGTCGTAACCATCGATGTATATTGTGAGGGAACGAAGAGCTCGAATGATGAAGACTGTCGTAAAAAAACAAACGACGGTTTTGTATATCAATGTAGCCAAGCGCCCAGTGATTACCATGCATATGTAGAGGCAGGAAAAAATGCTCAAACGCATGGGAAGGCCGTGGACGGCAGCGTGCATCGATAGACTGGTTAGCGAAACCCAGGTCATTGCATGCAATGTCATGGGCATACGCAAAACTGTTCGCGGTGAGGACTGATGGAAAGGTTTCCATTAATAAATCCATGTAGCCCCCGATAGGAACATCGCTGAGCCAAGCTATCCCGTTGAGACTTTGGTATGGGCAGTCGGGGGCGAAATATGACTGTTGTTGAGGCGGTGTCCAGGCCAGAACAGGAACAGATGAGGAAACAGAACGCAGCAATAACTGTAGATCTGGCTGTGATGTTTGAGCGGCAACCCAAAAAACAGACGGGGATGTGACAGGCTGTGACAAAACAGGCGTTCATGATAACGATCTTTTTTTTGTTTAGGCATTCTGGATAGGCGATGAAGAACACGAACGCTTATGCTGCTGACGATGCATAACATTGTGGGAAGGGACAGCAGATGGTGAGGCAGCAGCGGGGATGGAAAAGACTGTGTCAATGCAAGAAAGGAGACCATTTGAAAGTGTATCTAGACGCAAGTGTTCACGGACAACAATTGGATGTGGTTGAAAGAAGGCAGCAAGATCTTTCGTGAACAGTTTTAACGTGAGTAAAGTTGAGCGATTAACAACCCGCGAGACAATGATATAGCCTTGTTGAGGAACGTTGTGCTTTCGTCTGTGGACGTCATTTGAACAGGCTTTCCATTCGGCAACAACGAGGGACGACAGTGTTTCCCCCTGGATTTTGTAAACGGTCGAAGTGATGGCAGAAACGAAGGGGAGCTGCAAAGGGCGTACATAACATACCCTCTGGGGCATGTGTGCAAGAGTTGGCAAGTCTACTTTGACAGACCCATACGACCGTCGTCTAAACACTGGATAAACGCCTGAGGGCAGGCCATGCGAGAGCACTGGCGGGAATGGTTCGAATGTGGAACGGCAAGGGATACGAACAAGGGCAAGGTCCGGCAGGCAGCTAGGGAGCAACATTTGTGTCATGAAAAAGAGAAAATGTCGTGCATTTAGGGAATTGGAGAGAATAAAGAACGCCAAAGGTCCCGTTCGCAATGCCGCGGGCAGGGTCAACGTTTTGTGTGAATAGAACAAGCATGCCAGGTAAGAGGTCAAGGAAAGCAGCAAAGCGCCCAAGCTTGTTATCCGGTAGAGACATCACAAAATCGACATCATGCATATCCTTGTTTTTTAACTTTGGGCCAAAGTCCGCCACGATGCGAACAGGGTGGTGCTCGCATGGCAACAATTTACATACTGTACATGTATACGAATGGAGAGGTTGTAACGGTTTTCGTTGTCCGGAGCTACGAAAATAGGGAAATGCCCATCTTTAGACCGAACAAAATCTCGGCGCACACTTGGATCTATGTTTTCCAAAAGGCTGTTGTTGATGATTTTGACGAACCCGTCTTCCCAAACACCCATTCTCGCATGTGTACGATAGCGACCCCATTCAGGATCCGACTTGAAACGAATGGTTTCTGTTAAAATAACAACCGTCGTAAAAAGACGCCAGAGTTTAAATGCTTCATGGTTGGCAGTTGTATGTGCTTTGTTTAGTAGAGGGTTGAAATAGACCGGGTACCATTCACGGGAGGGAGCTGGAAGAAGTCCCCTATGGGCAGTATATGTATACCGCCGAAGGGGATGTCGAGCTTTCTCGCAGCCCGAAGATCATGGTCGAGACGCAGAAACGCGTCTCTATCCATCATGCTAAATTTGTCGATCACAAGTAAATCGAGCTCGGGCGTGAAGCTAGGTATGCCTTTCAGTTGCGCTTGTCGTCGCTCGAAACGGCAGTCTGATTCCAGATTATGCATCCCAAACCAGCTATGGAACGTCACTCCGGCAATGGAAATTGCGGCCTTGCCGACGCTTCGCGGATATAACCACCGTTTTGCAAATGTGTTGATGGCTGCGATAACGTGAGATTTGTCGGTACCACCCTCGTTAGTGAGGAACTTAAGGAGCTGTTGTTTTTCAATAACAGTAGTCATCTCTTGTAGCGGTATCGGCGTGGGCAGGTCCTCTACTTTTACTTGGGATAGCCAAGTTGTAAGGAGGGCGTCGACAAGCAACGAGAACGCAAGATGTTGTTTGTTACAAAGAGAAAATTGTGCAGAGACTTCAGAGATTGTAGGGAAAGGACAGGCGTCCGATACAGCAGGCTTCGAAGCGCGCGCACCAACGAAATCTTTATTACAAGGCAGCAGTGCATTCGCGATCAATCAAATACGAGTTGGTCGAGGGAGATGATGCCAACCACTTGGAGTTGCGTCTGCGTCGTTAACCAGAGAGGGCGGCGTTTTGGTCCAAGGATGTACAGCATCGAGGTCATCTATAGTTTGTCGTAAGAAACATCCGGCCGACGAGGAGTCGTCAGGGGCCATATCCTTATACATATCAAGCGTAATCGCGGCAGATGATGTCATTTGTTCAGATGGCAAACCTGAAACAGCCCATGGGGTTGTAAGGTTGTCAGCGATCATGGGCTTATTTGCGCCGTCGTGGTCAGGGTTCGGCGCGGCGCCATTCAGTGAGTCGTCATCAGACGGAGGGCACGGCGGTACATAGGCATTCGACGAGTCATTCGACACTTCATCAGAGGAGTTTGAACAGAGATTATCGTCAGTCTGCTCAGCCGGCCTTTGACTGCGCACGTCTGCTGCACGTTCTCGTGCAATATGATAGTCTTGCATTTGTAAGTAAATACCACACACAAATGCAGGCATATCCTCATAGAACGACAAAAACGCTTCATGCCACGTATTCCCAACTGCAACCAAATCTGTGAGGATTCGGAAGGGTTTGAAGAGCAGCAAGGACAATTGCGCATGAAGAGTTCTAGCGTCCTCGTCAGCGCATGCTCTCAGATCGGGAATGCGCGCGAAATCCGGCACAACAGGGACGACGGGAAGCCTCCAGCGTGCCAAAGTTTTGCGAGTGTACAATGGATGGATTTCCAGGAAGTTGCCATCGGATGTTGCAGCCGTCGATCTATCACATGTGTAGAAATGCATTGTGAATTCATACAGAGACAAATGTGTCAATGCCAACGGCCAAAAGACATAATCATCCAAAGGGCGTTTGATGACATAATCTGAATTCGCCTTTTCTACTGAATACAAAGTGTCGGGATCGTTCTGCAACTGTTTTAGCATGTGAAAGACATGGAGCACCCTGAAATCGTGACTAAGGTACGAGCACGGCCACCGCAAAAGATACAGTGCACACAGCGGACCAGCGGTCTCTTGCTTGTTCGTTATGCTAAAAAGCTGAGAGGATAGGCGGCGCCGGGTTTTAGCTCCTGCTGGCATTTCGGTGTGCTCTTCTGTAATTCTTTCGCATTCGCAGCATGCGTCGAATGCGGCTAACCGTAGTTTGATTTTGCAGTCCACTTTGTGTTGATCCTTTGTTGCATATCGGCAACAGTAGAAGACACGATCAGCAGCCTCAACACCGCCAAACAGGGGCTGTATATCGTGGTTGCATTTAAATGTAGATAACATGACGTCGTTGTACGCATTGATATATTCATCATCGAGATCCCGTTTAAGCTCCACACCGCTTTCCCGTAAAATCGTTTGCTCGCACTGCGAGCTCGGGAACTGGTAACGACAAACTTCTGCATTCATGTTAACACGGGTGTTTTTGAAGCACGACCCTGTATGAGCCCAATGGTGCGTCTGGACAAGATACAGAATTACTGGGAGTGTCGATAAAGAGGGCAGCAAGCGCAGTGGCATCGCGAGCATCTTTCGACTTGTCATATGCACTTGGAACGGATCATCTGTCAGCCTAGCGAAAGAAGCACAAGCTTCATTCTTTTGACGGATATCGTCGTAAGCAGGAGACGAAGTGGCTTCCAAAATGCTTTGACGGTGCATATGATGCGAACTCACCAAAGCATGGCAATGTATACACTCTGCACTCGGCGGTTCAGCGAACGGTTGCGACCCCCGTTTCCGAAACGGCGAGCACCGGGCTGTCTGGGATGTCCAGAGCATGCGTGTCAGCAGAGGCCGATGTTGCACCGGCCTCGCTCGTCGACACAGACATGAGCGGCTGCGGGTGCATGGCACGCATGTTTGAGTTGAAGCATGGTAGCAGTTGTTTGCCGAAGTATTTATGTCCCGTTGTATGAGTGAATGTGAGAACAGTTCCTATCGGAGGCAATGTGTATCTTTCATCCAAATCATACACGGATCCCCTGCGCAGAAGCGGCAAAATGTCATTTTGTGTGTCCCCGTATATATTTGATAAAGTCCGATGTGTTACGGGTGTTGTGCAAACTATTATGTTTCGGATTTTTTTTTTTAAGGCTCCCGGGTGCTGGAAGGGATTGACAATGAAAATACGCCCTTTCCAAGGCCCCTCCTGGCCCGACCCGCGAAGTCCCTCCTGCTACCGAACTCAAGAAAGTGGGGCAACCGGATGTCCTAGTTCCTGGTTCTACTAAATGACTGCTGCTATGTGTTATACATACGGAATTATTCTACCTGCGTGATGTGCCCAATTCGACTTCCCGAAAGTGTTGAACCCGCTCCCTCTCTTCCTATGTATGTATGTATGTGTGTGTTCTCACATCTGTACCTCTCTCTCTCTTTCTCTCTCTCTCTCTCTCTCTCTCTGTATGTGTGTGTGAGAGAAAACGATAGAGACAAAAGCATAGAGAGAGGAAGAGAGAACAGGTAAGTTCTCAAGTCCACATGTGCTTTGATGCTATGTCATTTCATCATGTGATTTGCAGAGTTTGCGTTCATAGCACACTATAGCGGTGTTAGTTGAGATCACATCATAGTGCAGCCATAGCATACGCACAGCGAAATGTTCTCTCTCTCTCTCTCTTTCTTTCTTTCTCTCTCTCTCTCTCTCTCTCTCTAACATGGCATACGAATAATATCGTGCGTTACGCATATTGCATACTGCGAGCTGTCGTGCGCACAACATGCCATGGTCCATAATATGAGGTGACCTGGCATAACATAGCATTACCCATGACACATCTTAGCGCTGTTGTTTGGTAATACAGCATAGTGTAGCCATAACATAAGCACAACGAAATATATTCATAGTATACATGCAGCATGATATGACCGGCTGTGAGCACAACAAACATGGTCCATAATATCAGCTCTCTCTCTCTCTCTCTCTCTCTCTCTCTCTCTCTCTCTCTCTCTCTCTCTCTCTGTGCGCCCTCACAAATTGTGCAGGAATGCGTTGATATATTCCAACGCGTTCAAATGTCCAGAAATTCGCCACCACGGACACCGGTTCTCTTTGCTAACACAGTCGCTCATAGACACCGTCCTGATGATTGTTTGATATTCTGTGCTGCTGTCGCATCTGTGTACACTATGTGGTGCTCGATCTGATCAATATCCCGCTCTTCTTTCGTTTGTGGTGCTACAGACACACACCATCGCAGGCATACCGATATTGCAAGCATTGGACGCCTCATTGCACCAACAAGAATGCCCGCATCGTATAATACACACGTCTCTCCCACAATTCAGAGAGTATATCCACCACCGCCCCGCTGACGATACAGGCGTCATTGAAGAACAAGGACTGCTGGTGCACCATGCTATTCACCATCAAGGCCGCAGACTCATTGTGCACATGTATATTCTTGGCATGGACGAACAACAAGCAGTCCAACAGATACATGCGGTGCTGTCGACCGGCATCTGTCGCACGAGCCCCGACATTATGCCCTACTTACGAAGGGCCGTTGTCTACAGTTGCAGCTCGCAGGCCGTGGTGCCGCCTGTCGGCTCTTCTGTCGCATTTCGCCGTACCACCGGGCATCGGTACACCGACAATCCAGTGATAGCATCGTTCAACACAAACATCGGGAGTCTATATGTTGGTCCTCCCCTTTTTGCGCACAAGTCGTGCAACACAATCGGCCCCCGAGTCCCGCTCGTGCTCCTGCTTCTATGATGGGCCGTACTGATGTTTGCCCGCTGCAGGGCAGCACACCCTTGCCCGAAGCGGCCACCACTGATCTACACGAAGCTACGAACTTCTCATTACCTGTCTTTCCACATCATTACATCACGACTTTGCTGTTGGCAGTCATTGACGCTTGATATCCAAGACGACGTCAATAGACTTGCTTTCTTCAAGAAGTTATTTTTCCATCGTCATAGAACACGAAGCAGAGGTCAATGTGCAAGAGTTCAGGGAGCAACGATTCGAAATGCAACTTCAACAATGACAGTTTCGGGGGCAGAGATGTGAACGCGTTGCCTAATACTGGAAAGTGGATACTGCTTCCGCCTCTTTTGCCGTTTCGCAGACCATGTACATACCATCCGTGCTTCTCACCACTAACAAACTGTTTCTTTTAATTTTTTTTTTTCTTTTCTCTTTAGTTTAGAAAAATGCTTAGAATTTGCAACTTGTACATACCAAAACTGCTTTGTTCAAATGAAGTGCGTACGTTGAGATGAGTTGCTGGGCGTGTCCACGTGTATGCCGCGTATCGATGCCTATTCATAAGATACTTTGTTTTTTTTTTCCCCTTCACTTCATTTCCGCACAACCCCCCCAAAAAAGTGATCTTTCTTGTCAGTTTCTGTCGATAGTCAGTCCGTGGATGCAGAGTGCTGGTTCGTGCCCCCCGGTTGAAGCGGACATCTAGCCTGCCTATGCAGGAACATTTTAGTGAACGTGCTCATGCTCAAACCCGTTTATTCTGGACAAGAAGACGATGAGGAAGCGACGGAGAACGAGGAGGAGGAAGAGAGAAGAGAAAAAGAGGGGCGACAAAGAGCACAGAGCCTTACATAAATGAACATCTACTTGCGGCCGAGGGTGAAGACCACCAAGCACAACGCAACCGAGAAAGAGAAGACACTGTTGTCAGATTTGCGCTGCTCTACATTCTGACTATATCTGTACTCTAGTATTGTAGTACGCTTCAAGACGCTGTTTTTCGCTTGTTTTTTTTTTCATCTTTTGTTGGCACACGAACGAACACATGATCTTCCTCGTGAGTCGTGAGTTTCCGCTGAAACACTGTAAATGTAGATTGCTGCTCCGATGTCTCTCGTTGAAGCCCGCGTAGAAACTGAGATCCATGTTGTTCTTCTGTGATGCCTTCTTGCGTCAGACGCTGTGCCTTTTTGCAAGAATGCATTCCGACTACATCGATGCTCTACAACCATGTACCTCGAAAAAATCCTTGCTGTTGTTTTGCTGTTTTTTGTGCTATGTCGACCGACGACTTTGTTTTTGTGCCAACAATCTTCTTACAACTTTTTCAGACACACAAAAACCACAATACGGCTCGTGCTTTTCTGCTTTCTCTCGTCTCTCGCCCCCTTGGCTATATTGCGCTCTCCTCTCTCCCCTCTCTCTCCCGCCGTCTCTTTCTCTGTCTCCCTTTTCCTCTTCGTTCTTCTCTCTCTCTTTTCCCCTCTTCCTCTTCCTCATCTTCTCCTTCCTCCTCCCCCTCTCTGCAAAATCCTTTTACTTGTATCTTTCTGTTCAGCGAAAGAAGGAAAGGGTGCTCTCTTTGTTTTGCCTAAATATGTTGTGCTGCCCTATGCCATGTTATCTTGTCAGCAGTTCAGACGCCCTGTTAAATATGTTGCATCGTGAGCTCAGATACTGTGTCAACAAACTAAAGCCCATGCCGCCCGCGTCGAGCCCGCACTTCGCATGCCCTGTCAATACAAATGATGTCTCTAAATGGAAAAACAACAGAGTGCAACAGAGAGAGAGTGCAACAGAGAGAGAGAGAGAGAGAGAGAGAGAGAGAGAGAGAGAGAGAGAGAGAGAGAGAGAGAGAGAGAGAGAGAGAGAGAGAGACCATAACAACCGATGCTTTCCACTGCCATTACCATTGCCCAGAAGAAAGGGAAAAAGACGAAGAACAACCAAAGCGTAGTCGCAGTTCGAGTTTCTCTCTCTCTCTCTCTCTCTCTCTCTCTCTCTCTCTCTCTCTCTCTCTCTCTCTCTCTCTCTCTCTCTCTCTCCCTCTCTCTCGCAACTGCGCAAGTGCAACGCAATGCTGTCCGACAGGTCTGCTTAACGCTCAGTCTACTCACAATGCCGCACAAGAGACAACAACCCTTCCGTCTTCCCGCAAATGAGCGATCTGTTTCGATGACGCTGGGCCAACCTTTGCTTGACTTGGGCTGATGCCTGTCACCGACAGCCTGTTTCCTATTCTCTCCACCTTCCCCTGTGCATATATGTCACTAAATATGTGTGTATGTTTTTACATCTATGCCTCTTTCTTTCTCTCTCTCTCTCTCTCTCCCTGTTGCACTCTGTTATTTTTCCATTTTTTGTCTCTCTCTCTCTGTGTCTTTCTCTTTCTGCCTTAGCATTGCCAAGAAGAAATAGAAAAAGACAAAGGACAACTACGGCGCAGTCGCAGTTCAAGTTTCTCTCTCTCTCTCTCTATATATATATGTATATATATATATATGTATATATACACATATCTTTTCAATGCTACTAAGAGGATCGTGGCCCCGCGGTTGTGCAGGCACAGCGCAGCGCTGTCCAGCGGGCTTGCTTAACGCTCAGTCTACTCACGATGCCACACAAGCGGCAACAACGCTTCCACCTTCCTGCAAATGAACGCTCTGTTTAAATAGAGTTGAGTCGACCTTTGCTTGACTTTGACTAATGCCGGTTGCCTGCGACCTATTTCCTATTCTCTCCCTCTCTTCATGTGCATATATGTATGTGTGTGTCGTCACCTCTCTCCCTCCCTCTCTCTTTCTCTCTCTCTCTCTCTCTCTCTCTCTCTCTCTCTCTCTCTCTCTCTCTCTCTCTCTCTC